GCCCTTGGAAAGCGCCCAGACTGATGCAAAAGCCTCCGGTAAGGGCGCCGCGGAGCATTTGGAGGCAGGCTAGTGCCTAACGTTGCTTTCTGAAGCCACTAGAAAACCTCTTGGAAAGTGCAGAGACAGGTCCAAAAGCCGCCAGAATGGTGCAAAAGCCTCCGGCAAGGGCGCCTTTGGAGGCCGGCTTTTGCCTAACGTTGCTTTCGGAAGCCACTAGAAAACCTCTTGGAAAGCGTCCAGACTGGTGCAAAGGCCCCCGGAATTGTGCAAAAGCATCCGGCAAGGGCAGGCCAGTGCCTAACGTTGCTTTCTGAAGCCACGAGAAAACCCCTTGGAAAGCGCCCAGACTTGTGCAAAAGGTTGCGGAGAGGGTGCCGCGGCGGAGCATTTGGAGGCAGGCTAGTGCCTAACGTTGGCCTCTTGGAAAGCCCTTGGAAAGCGCCCAGACTGATGCAAAAGCCTCCGGCAAGGACGCGGCGGAGCATTGGAGGCAGGCTAGTGCTTAACGTTGCTTTCTGGAGCCACTAGAAAACTTCTTGGAAAGCGCGCAGACTGGTGCAAAAGCCACCAGAATGGTGCAAAAGCTTCCGGCAAGGGCGCCACGGAGCACTTGGAGGCAGGCTAGTGCCTAACGTTGGTTTCTGAAGCCACGAGAAAACCCCTTGGAAAGCGCGCAGACTGGTGCAAAAGCCTCCGGCAAGGGCGCCGCGGAGCATTTGGAGGCAGGCTAGTGCCTAACGTTGCTTTCTGAAGCCACTAGAAACCCTCTTGGAAAGCGCCCAGACTGGTCCACAATGGTGCAAAAGCCTCCGGCACGGGCGCTGCGGAGCATTTGGAGGCAGGCTAGTGCCTAACGTTGCTTTCTGAAGCCACTAGAAAACTTCTTGGAAAGCGCCCAGACTGATCCAGAATGGTGCAAAAGCCTCCGGCACGGGCGCTGCGGAGCATTTGGAGGCAGGCTATAGTGCCTAACGTTGCTTTCTGAAGCCACGAGAAAACCCCTTGGAAACGCCCAGACTGGTGCAAAAGCCTCCGGTAAGGGCGCCGCGGCGCTTTTGAAGGCAGGCTAGTGCCTAACGCTTTCTGAAGCCGCTAGAAAACCTCTTTGAAAGGGGAAGCAGTGAAAGCCACGCCAGGTACAGCCAAAAAGGCCATGCCATGGCTGCGATTCTCTAGCGGGCGCATGCCCTGCCAGCTCCTCGGACGCGCTCCCCCTGCCATCGGCTGGGGTCGGCGGATTACGAACGTCAACGGCACCACACAGACACAAGTCAAGCGTCAAGAGTCATCTCACGGAAGTGAATACTGTGCGATACTGTGCGCCAGTCAAGCGTCAAGAGTCATCTCACGGAAGTGAATACTGTGCGATACTGTGCGCCAAAGCCGTTTGTGTTAGTGGTGCCTTCTCCCTTCAAGGGTTCCTTTCATGAAGGCAAGCAAGATCAGTTTCTCATTTTATATGATTTGTGAGGCAATTTTCAATTTAAGGTTTAATAATATGTGCAAAATCTTTCCCCGATGGGTGAAGAAATGAAGACTTGTCATGTCCAGCCCCTACGCGCACCAGGCAGTGGCAAATTTTGAGATCATGCCCATTCACTGTGCTTGCATCAATCCGACCTATGGCAAGACCATTTTGGAGATGATGCTGCTTTGACTAGGAATGTTCACTGTGGTAAAAGGCACCAAGATGACAACGAGATACTCGTAACATTTTGTATGCCACAGCAGCCCAAGTTTAATTCAACCTGAAGTCTGGGCATGTCTGGACCTGGACCTGACATCACGACCTTCATCGACCGCTCAGGTTGACACAGCTTGGGCCCGCTGCTGAAGACATGTGCAAAGATTCTGAGCAGCGGACACTAGCGCCTAGACATAGTCATGACTTACACTAGAAGTTTTTTTCATTGTGATGCGTTGCCTCTCGTTTTCCACCTTTTGTCCAACGTTTTACAAGTTTTATCAACGACATCATCATGGCAAAACGAGCAAAGAAAGCAAACATGATTGAATCTTGACATGGTCTGACTCCTTGGTTTGAGCCGCGGCGACTGGAGGTGCATTATGCAGCCGTTTGCGAATCAGAAGAGCCACTGGAGGTCCTGTTGACCCAAGGCTTCTCGCCTCACCGAATCGACAGCAACAGCATGACGCCCTTGATGTATGCCTGCATGGCAAACCGGCCGAAGAATGTCGCGAGGCCTCACCATGGACATCGACAATCATGGACATGCGGGTGCGGCACACACAGTATTATTAAAGTATTGCAAAGTCAGAAGAGATGATGGCATACAAATGCATACAAGGGACTTAACGGAAATTAAACAGGACATGATGCAAACATGATACACATAATCACACAACACTACAAACATATTATATGTAGTTATTTAACATTAAATATGATATATATATATATGTGTGTGTCATACATAGCAATATATTGTATACTAATTAAATTTCTTATGAACATGCAAGACGTAGACATGATAGGGAGCAGCTGCCGAGCTGCCGCGGCTGAGTTGCCACGCCAGGCTCTTGGCTGCCAAAGCAGATCCCTTGGTTCGTTCCTCTGAGCGCACAAGCTTCCACTTGTCGGTGCAGCAGGGGTCTGCTGAAGCTCTGAAAGCCTTGGTGTCACACATGGCTACGTTGGCTGCCGAGATGCCGCCACCGGTGAAGGGGACACTTTGCAAAAATCCGAAGAGTTGGGAAGCCTCACATCTCACATGTCGCGTGTTTGGTCATGTTGGATTGTCCATGCTATTCCGTGCTCTTCCATGCTGTTCCATGCTTGTCCTTTTAACGGGTCGAGGTCTACTTGTATTTGCTGGAGAAACCAATGGACTAAGTTTTTGTCTGCCCCCTGAGCCAGGAAGAAGGGAGGAAAGAAGCCTAAGCCCAGCTGGCAGTTGGCCACTTCGTCATCTCAGCGAACCGCCTTACATGATGCTTGTGCAGTTGGTCGCTTGGACATGGCCGTGATGTTGCTTGAGGAAGCGCCTGGAGCCTTGCACAAGTGCGACAAGCAGGGACGCTCACCCTTGACCTTTGCTGTCATGAATGGACACGCTTTGTTAGCCTCGCATCTCATTCACCGAAGGGCTCTGGTGGATCAAAATGACAGCTCTGGAAACAGTCCACTGCACTATGCCATGGCCTATAGCTGGCAAGACATTGCCAAGCTCCTGGTGGATTGTGGCCACGACCCAAACGTGCAAAACAAATGGCGCAACTCTCCAGTGGACGTGTCGCTGTTGAAGGGCCATGCTGCTTTGGCTTCCTGGTACGTGGCAGAGTGCCCAATCCAGCCTGATACCTCCATCTTTGCTTGAGATGTTTTTTTTCCCGAGAGCGTCTGAGCGCAGGGTTCTTCCAATAGTGGGGGTCTGTATCTCATCTTCTCATCTTCACACCTTCTCATCTTCACACCTTCTCTCACACCTTCTCATCTTCACATCTGCTCATCTTCACATCTGCTCATCTTCACATCTTCACATACTCACATCACCTTCTCATCTTCACATCTGCTCATCTTCACACCTTTTCATCTTCACATCTGCTCATCTTCACATCTGCTCATCTTCACATCTTCTCATCTTCACATCTGCTCATCTTCACATCTTCTCATCTTCACATCTGCTCATCTTCGCATCTTCACATACTCACATCTTCACTTTCTCTCTCTCGCACTCACATCTTCACATACTCACATCTTCTCTCTCTCTCTCTCCCTCCTCTTTCCTCTCTCCTTTCTCTCTCTCTCTCCTTTCTCTCTCCCTTTTCTCTCTCCCTTTTCTCTCTCTCGCCTTCTTTATCTTTCTCTCTTTAGGCCGAGGGTGGTGCCGGCGGGGAGTCACGAAACGTCAACCCTTTCGCACGAAATGAGGGTCGATCGTCAAAAATTGAGGAAAAATTGCGATTTTACTTGTGCCGGAGCAACCCTTTCGCACGAAATGAGGGTCGATGCGCAAAAACTGAGAAAAAAAATGCGATTTTACTTGTCCCCGAGCAACCCTTTCGCACGAAATGATGGTCGATCGTCAAAAACTGAGGTAAAATTGCGATTTCCGGAGCAACCCTTTCGCACGAAATGAGGGTCGATGCGCAAAAACTGAGGAAAAATTGCGATTTTACTTGTCCTGGAGCAACCCTTTCGCACGAAATGAGGGTCGATGCGCAAAAACTGAAGAAAAAATGCGATTTTACTTGTCCTGGAGCAACCCTTTCGCACGAAATGAGGGTCGATGCGCAAAAACTGAGGAAAAATTGCGATTTTACTTGTGCCGGAGCAACCCTTTCGCACGAAATGAGGGTCGATGCGCAAAAACTGGGGAAAAAATTGCGATTTTACTTGTCCTGGAGCAACCGTTTCGCACGAAATGAGGGTCGATGCGCAAAAACTAAGGTAAAATTGCGATTTTACTTGCGCCGGACTTGTCTGTGTGTAAAAGCGTCTGTGTGTAAGAGTCTCTGTGTGTAAAAGTGTTTGTGTGTAAAAGTGTTTGTGTGTAAAAGTGTTTGTGTGTAAAAGCTTCTGTGGTAAAAGCTTCTGTGTGTAAAAGCGTCTGTGTGTAAAAGACTGTGTGCAAAAGCGTCTGTGTGTAAAAGCGTCTGTGTGTAAAAGCGTCTGTGTGTAAAAGCGTCTGTGTGTAAAAGCGTCTGTGTGTAAAAGTGTTTGTGTGTAAAAGCGTCTGTGTGTAAAAGCGTCTGTGTGTAAAAGCCCTGTGTGTAAAAAGCGTCTGTCTGTAAAAGCGTCTGTGTGTAAAAGCGTCTGTGTGTAAAAGCGTCTGTGTGTAAAAGCGTCTGTGTGTAAAAGCGTCTGTGTGTAAAAGCGTCTGTGTGTCTGTGTGTAAAAGCGTCTGTGTGTAAAAGTGTTTGTGTGTAAAAGTGTTTGTGTGTAAAAGCGTCTGTGTGTAAAAGCGTCTGTGTGTAAAAGCGTCTGTGTGTAAAAGCGTCTGTGTGTAAAAAAAGCGTCTGTGTGTAAAAAGCGTCTGTGTGTAAAAACATCTGTGTGTAAAAGCGTCTGTGTGTAGAAGCGTCTGTGTGTAAAAGCTTCTGTGTGTAAAAGCGTCTGTGTGTAAAAGTCTCTCTGTGTAAAAGTGTTTGTGTGCAAAAGTGGTTGTGTGTAAAGTCGTCTGTGTAAGAGCGTCTGTGTGTAAAAATCTCTGTGTGTAAAAGTCTCTGTGTGTAAAAGTCTCTGTGTGTAAAAGCCTCTGTGTGTAAAATCGTCTGCGGGTAAAAGCCTCTGTGTGTAAAAGTCTCTGTGTGTAAAAGCCTCTGTGTGTAAAAGCGTCTGTGTGTAAAAGCGTCTGTGTGTAAAAGCGTCTGTGTGTAAAAGTGTTTGTGTGTAAAAGTGTGTGTAAAAGCGTCTGTGTGTAAAAGCGTCTGTGTGTAAAAGCGTCTGTGTGTAAAAGCGTCTGTGTGTAAAAGCGTCTGTGTGTAAAAGCGTCTGTGTGTAAAAGCGTCTGTGTGTAAAAGCTCTGTGTGTAAAAGTAAAAGCGTTTGTGTGTAAAAGCCTCTGTGTGTAAAAGCGTCTGTGTGTAAAAGCGTCTGTGTGTAAAAGCGTCTGTGTGTAAAAGCTTCTGTGTGTAAAAGTGTTTGTATGTAAAAGTGTTTGTGTGTAAAAGCTTCTGTGTGTAAAAGCTTCTGTGTGTAAAAGCGTCTGTGTGTAAAAGCGTCTGTGTGTAAAAGCGTCTGTGTGTAAAAGCGTCTGTGTGTAAAAACTTCTGTGTGTAAAAGCTTCTGTGTGTAAAAGCGTCTGTGTGTAAAGGTCTCTCTGTGTAAAAGTGTTTGTGTGTAAAAGTGTTTGTCTGTAAAAAGTTCTGTGTATGAAAAACTTTACAAAAATACGATGCAAACTATTGTCTTGTACTAGTCATATATTGTCTTGATACTACTCTTCTCGTCTGCCTATAATACATCTTTAATATATTGTCTTGTAATATAGTGTCTCCATACTAACAACAGAAGACTCTGCTCCTCTACGCTCTCGGGCCATCCGTCGTCTAGTTTTTTTAAATTGTTTATCTTTTCATTTGAAGAATTAGACAGGTATGCAACAGCATTCTTTTACTCGATGTGCTACATCGATGGTGCACAGCACCTTCAGCGTCCTCTGTGCAAGTTGGAAACCAACAGGTGCGTCAAAAACTAAACCACAAGGACCAACGTTTCTTACAGAGCAAGCAGCTCAGAAATGCTCAGAACTTCACCCATCAAACTGGCATGCTTCCCAAAACCTACCCACTGTCCACACAGTCACAGTACTACTGGCATTGCAGAAAAACCAGACCACACGGTCTTGTTTGTTCTTTTTGCTCAAGCGATCTCAAGCACAAGTTTTGCTGAGGATAGCTTTGATGAGAAAGGCCGCACTTTGCTCACTCGCGCCTGTTCCAACTTGGGAGACAAAATCTGGCGGAATGTGTTGACAGCGCTGGTGTCGAAGCGTGGAGCTGATGTGAATCTCCCCGATGGACAAGGAGACTTGCCTATCTGCCTTGCAGCGCATGCCTGTTCAGCTCACAAGAACAATCCTGAGCTGAACTCAGCGTTGAAGCTGCTATGCTCGGCCAAAGCTGATGTGGGTCGTCGAGCAGAGAAGGGTCAGTTCCAAAACCAGTCTGCCATCTCCATTGCTTTGCTGCTTGGCACGTGAAGTTTAGACCGTCCTTATTAATCTCAAATATCTCAATTAATGTTTGCGCTATGATTGCCCAAATCATTTACTTATTTCATCTTATTTTCCAAACGCGCACTTTCATTTAGTGTCATTATACTATGAACTCATTGATTTTATCATTGAGTCAAACTTCCACTTGTCTATATGAATGATCTTCGTATGTTCAATCTGCCTGGGTGGCTGTGCCTGGCTTGCTGGTAGTGCCTTTTGAATCCTTTTGAAGGACCACTACATCCAGCAAAATCTGTGATGCTTGTTGGTTTCTCAGGATATTGTTGTATCACGTTGTATCTCAGGGTCTTTCTTCGATCACACTTCGATCAGGGCATGTGGGATGAGATACTAGCGGCTACTAGCGCTGGGTTTCGGCAACTTTCCATACTCCTGAGGAAAGGCAGCAACAGCGACCTCCTGAGAATGATGTTGGAGAGTGGTGCTGGCTTAGCTGCCCATGGTAGAGGTGAGACACTTCTTCATGCTATGCCTGAACGATTGATTCGGAGGGGCTCCTTGGCATTTGCACTAAAACGAAACTTTGCGTGAGTGGAAGTCAGGGGAATTCGCAGGGTGAGAAATTTTTGCCAACTCTTTTTGCAGCACCCCAGATTCTTCTGTATGGTATCCGTGCAGGTTATCGAAATGCCGAGGGAGATCAGACAGCCGAGCAGATTTTCCAGACCATCAGAAGCTGTGTCCCGAAGGAATCTTTGCGCGCCATGGCACAGACCATGGATGCTAATGGCCTTGCGCCCGTGCATTCCGTCATGTTGAACTTCAAGCAAGCCATCAAAATTTTGCGGGCGGATCGGCAGAACAAAGAAGCTGAGATGAAGAGCTTGCAGAAGCAGCGTCGCTCATTTGCAAACACAATGATCTCACAAGGAGATGGATGATACAAACATGTTGTGCAAAAAGTTGATTACAGCTTCAATCCTATTTATTTTTGAGCTAAATGTTTGCCTGATGCTTCGGTCACTACGCGCCTCTACTCACCGGTTTTGCATGGTTTTGCCATTTATTGTATTGGTAACCGGTGGCTATTACAGCGGAATACTGATGGAACGCATTCTGTCCCTGCAAAACTCCCTCTAGACTCTGCTTTCTCTCCCCAGCGGCAAGCTGGAATGCTTGATGATGTTTGTTGATAAGGTGACGAGGCTATGCGAAAGCAGCAGACCACAGTTGTATCTCAGATCCCAGGATTTGTTTCAGCAGACCTTCCCGGGTTGTAGTATTTTGTATAATTATACGTCTGTGCACATTGCCAATTGTACGTTTGGTTCTGAACTGTCTTCGGGAGGGCCCTTCTCGTCAAGACTCTTGTGATCTCATGCGTATCAGGATGCGTCACACCATGGAATCAAAGTCTCCGGCATTACAACAAGCCTTGCAAACTGAGGAGGTCACATCCTCAACACTTGACATTTGCAAAATGGACATTGATGGAGACAAACAACATATCTCTATAGCTGGCTGGTCCAGCTTTCCTACAAATTCTTAGTGTGCCAAAGAAAGTGATGCAGACAAACATGACTACAGTAAAGTTCTTCCAGTTCTTGACGTGTTGGGTCAAGTTGGAGTGATCACAGATCATGAATAAAGAATATGTTTTGATAAATTTTACTTGTGACTGCTGCTAGAAGATTGCACCAGGCTGCCAGAAAAGATTTCCAGAAGTGTTTGCTATGGTTGTGCGAGGACTCTCTGCCATGTTTGGTCTGGATTAGTTGAGGGAATTGATGCCCACGCTGCTACTGCCAGTACTAGGAAGATGTCTACGTAGCAATGATGCAGTTTCTTGTGCACCAACAGACCATGGAGTTCCTGCGCTCAATTTTTCTGTTGTGCTGTGAACCACGAGGAGGCTGGGGCGGATCCAATGCTGCCGATTGGACCATTGGAAAAGCCGTGGAAGGATCCCAAGAAGCCGGAGGACGCACAGGCAAAACCTCCTTCTGTCAATGCCGAGTATCCTGTCGAGCCAGCGCCAAAGATTGAGGAAGTCGTTGAACGCAGTGTTCTGGCTTTTGATCAATCCACGTATTTCAAGTACCAACCAGATTTAGGAATGACAACGCCATTGATGTTGCTGGTGAAGACTGGCGATTCCGAAGCCATCGCTTGGTTCTTGGATGAGTTGGCCAAGCGAAACCTGGTGGAAAAGGCGCTTGAGGCCTCAACTTTGTTCGGTACTACCCCGCTGGTCATAGCTATTCAAATGGAAGTGCCTTTGCCATTGTCGGAGCTAAGATCAGACGATCAAGAAGGCATATGTGTCAAAAGTGAAAGTCTTCGATCGCACCAACAAGATCTCACCAAAATCCCTCTACAAAATTGATCCAACTCGTACCCTACGGCACAGCTCAGCGATTTCCTCTTCTGTTTTGTGCAGACTTTTTTTGCAAAAAACGGATAACTGAAATATTTCGCTGCAACTTATATTGTGGAAGTGTGACTAGTATTCAGAACATGTTGTGTCAGAGCAATTCTAAGTGGCTTAATCCTGGGCATTCGGAATGAGTTCGCAACCGTTAGACTGACCATTGGCGGACCAATGTCAGCTCTACATCTCGACTGAGGTGCACCTCGACGAGGGGCTACTGGGTCGTTTGGCCTCACCCAAGGCTGCCAGTATTCGCCGCTATGATGGACGCTTGGTCACTGCCATTTGGAAGTGGTAGCGTGTGGCTGCCATTCTCATCTAGTGTGAACATCTCTCTTGATTTTGCCAGGCTAATCCTGACAATCTACATTTGGGTCTTTTTATTGCATTACATGGATGTTTTTCACATTGATTGAAGGCTTGCAGGATCCTTGCTGTCAAACATGCCCAGGATTTGTTACCCCTCCAAGTTGCTGTGCCAAGGAAAGACAGCTCTACATTTGGCCACGACCGGAGGTGCACATGGCTGGACCAAAAATGTTCAAAGACAGGAGAACTTCAAGGACTGCCGCGCGGTGGCCTTTGAGGCAGCCCAGACAAGTCTTGACTGCCTCAATATGATTCTTGCTGAGTGTCAGAGCTTTGAATTGTTTTGAAGATGGCAAAGATTGAAGATGATTGAAGATCATTGACATTTCATTCACAATGATTGACGATGATGGAAGATGATTGAAGATGGTCGAAGATGATTGGAGATGACTTACGATGATTGAGGATGATTGCAGATGATTGAAGATGATTGAAGATGTTGAAGCTCTTTGAAGATGATTGAAGATGACTGAAGATGATTGAAATTGATTGACGATGATTGACGATGATTGAAGATGATTGAAGTTGATTGAAGATGGATGAATATTGAACATGATTGAGACTGATTGACATTGATTGAATGTGATTGAAGATAATTGATTGAAGATGATTGAAGATGATTGACGCTGATTGACGATGATTGAAGGTGATTGAAGATGATGGATTATGATTAAACATGATTGATTGGAGATGATTGGTGCTGATTGAAGATTATTGAATATGATTGAAGACAATTGAAGATGATTGAAGATGATTGACGCTGATTGACGATGATTGAAGATGATTCAAGCTGATTGAAACTGATCGAAGATGATCGACTATGATTAAACATGATTGAGCATGATTGAAGATCATTGAAGATGATTGAAGATAATTGACGGCTCAACCTTTGCTACCAATATCCACACCCTCTTCCGACAATTTTGCGCACATCAGCTTCTGTGTGCAGTTTATGGCGCGGGACAGGTGACCCTCAAAGCTGCAAAAATGGCCGGTTGTGTGGATGCCACTGATGCCAAGGGTTGGACAGCGCTTGCCTGTGCATTGTCCACTCAAGGTCCCAGGACTGAGCGTGCAAAAGATTTGAAGACAAAATTCAGGAGACCAAGAAAATTCCCAAAAAAGTGCAGAAATTCTCCTTGAAGCAATTCTTTCTTCGGGTATTACCCGCAGCTACTCACTTGTCGTGGTTTCGCCATCCATCCTGGCAACATCCTATTTCTATCCATTTCTCATTCCAGTTGCAAGCATTGCGGTTCTTAGGGATCTTGCAGTGAAACATAGTGAAACATGATTGACCTTACGTCCAAGAGCAGGATGCCAAAGATGCTAGAGCCTTGGAAAGGAGGAATATTTAGCAGTCAAGCTACAGACTTTTCCCAGAAGGATGCTAGCATGGCTTCCGCAGAGAATGCCATGTACAAAGCATTCGGAAAGATTGAAGAGCAGTTGAAGAATGCCAAGGGCTTCACTGCTGGAACAGGAGCTCCAGTCACTGCCACCTCCGTGCAAAGGAGAGTTGTCTCAGTCGCTGGCATGGGAAGTCATGTGAAATGGAGGTTTGATGACTTGGGCGCCATTATCAACGGCCTAAAGCACCCAGCTGCAGAAGCGGCAGGACTTAAGGTTGGCATGCGACTTGTTTCGATTGCGGGCAATTCTGTAGCAGGTATGCAGAAGGACCAGATTCTCACCGCTTGGAAGAATTTCTCAGGGAACACCGGAACTTTGGAGTTTGAGGACATGGATGCAGCGCCCACCCAAGAGCCAACACAAGCAGTCGGAGCTAAACAGCCTGCCTTTGGGAATGCTGGTGGATTTGGTGCTGGCAATGCCTTTGGTGGCCCTGGTTTCGGTGCTCCAACACCTGCTTTCGGAGCACCTGCTCCAGCTTTCGGAGCAGCTTTCGGAGCAGCGCCTGGTGGAGGCCCCGCGTTTGCGTTTGGTGGGGGGAATGGTTTCGGAGGTGCTCCTGCCTTGAAAGCAGCTCGCTTTGGAGGATTGGCTGCCAGGGCAGCTCCTAAGTTTGGCTTTGGAGCGCCCGCTTCTCAATTAGGCACTGTACCGGCAGACCCTGCGCCAGAGCCAGTTGAAGCAGAATCTGCACCAGTCCCTGCCATGGTAGGATCAGCCGATGCTTGCTATCACAGCTTGGATGCCTCAGCCGTTTACGCGAGCTTCTTGGTGGGAACTGTTTCTTTTTTAGTTTTCAGATGTTTTAAGCAGCGTGAGCCAACTTTCATTAGTGACAGCGCTGCTTTCTGCCAAGCTCTTCAGTCAGACCCTGCCAGGTTTCCAATGTCACATCACGCAGGGCAGGTGGTACTTCGAGCTTCAACATGTCCACATTGAGAAGGGCAAGATCGGTGTTGCATTGTGCGGGCATAATTTAGTGAGCTCCCAAGAACCCCAAGTGCTCCGTCTCAAGAAGAAAGACTGGTGGTATTTGGTGGCATACACTAGCACAAAAATCTTCAAAATGCCAAAAGTATACTGTTTGAAGAATCTATGGCATTTCATGGATACTGGGTAGCATCCGGACAGTTGGGACACATGTGACTGCAGGGAAACCGCACAGCCGTGCCTGTCCGTGGCCATATAGGCCTAAGCCAAGATCGCTGCGTCTCCAGGCAAAACCGGCAGCCTTGTGTCTCGCAGTGCATTTCTGCCTTGTTTCACAGTGGCACCGGAGCCTGAGTCGCTTGAAACTACGCCATTCGGCAGGGTTTCCGCTCCATGTTGGCACTCTATACCATGAGCTGCTGCCCGTCTCATCGTCAGGCATTGCGATACCAACAAGTCAAAGCCCCAGCGAGGCCGCCAGCAGGAAGTGGAACCCGAAAGGGTCGTTATACACAGTCTCAAAGAGTTCCGCAAGGAAAAAGGTGCTAGGCCCGAGGGTCTCCAAAGTCTTTACGACGTAGAGCTCGAGGTCCAAGCAAGGCAAATGCCGCAACAACAAAAAGTGACCAGGGCTGCCACCACTCAACCACCAAGCAAATCCGCAGGAAGTCCAGGAGGTCCAGGTAGTAACCAGCCAAGGCCAGATGCAGCGCCCAGAGCTGCCACCAACTGCAAGACACCAAAGAGCTCAGCAAGAGCGTCCCCGATGTTCACGATGTAGCCCAGCCGTAGGGCAAGAGGTCCAAGAGCAGAGCACAGCGCAGCGATGCAAGGCAAATGGGCTGGATCAAGGAGATGAATTGGTGGATGGTTAGCCTGGACACCGAGTCCTGCAAGAAGTACAACGTGGCGGCTCGTTGGGCACCTCGTCAATATGGCGTGGTCCGTGCCGGTTGCGAAGAGTTTGAACCTGATGAACTGCTGGGGACTCCTGCAGAAACTATGACTGCATGGATTCAGGTGAAACAGTTGAGCGTGTGGCAGCTGACCCCTTCGCTGGACTCAAGAAGCTGATGAAGGCCCTTGAGACTTCAGTTGGGAAAATGGACAGACGTGGTGAACGACGTGCTCAGTTTTACCAAGATCTTCGACGTTCACCTGGTGAGCCCATCACCGCCTTCTGCACAAGGTTCAGGACACTTGCATCTGAGCTGAAACGTGAGGGCAGCAATTTGGCGCAAGGGCACCAGAGAACCATCCAGTAGATCTGCTCACAGCATCTTGCGAGAGAAACTCAACACAGCGCCAATTGCATCCAGAAAATCTCTGCCAAGTAAAAGTCCACGGCTTGGCACATCAACCACTGAAACCCAAACCGTCAAAAGAGAGGAACCAATCATCATGGGCAAACGGTATCTCATGAAATTTGTTTTGCACCCACCATTGCCAAAACGGAAAGCCTCACTTTCAGGATGCTTTGATGAGGTTCTGGATCTCCTTTGGGGCTTTCTCGAGGGATTTCAAATAGTGATTTAACCAAACATTTCCACTGCAGGTGCGGTTGCAAGCACTGTCCAACGCGCCAATCATCCTTTTATCCAAAGAAAGCACTTGAGTTTGCGCCGCATTGGATTCATTGACATAGTCCAAAACCTCAGGCAAGGAAAGGCTCCGGTTTGAGCAGGCCATAACTTCATGGGCATCTTCAGGCTTGATGCCGCTGTCAACCACCTCAATGGCATGCTCAGTGTTCAAGGCTTCAGTCACCTTGACATGTTTGGCCGGTGCGCTGGTGTTGCCCTTGCCCTTGAGTTTGAAAAGACCAGCCCCAGGACGACGGCACTGTGGATCACCGCCCCAATGACCGCTTTCACCACAATCCCAGCACTTTGTGGTGGCCTTCTTGGCAGAGGCTTGACTGCCATGCAGCTTGGGCTTGAAGTTGCCCTTTCCAGTTCCAGCGTGTCCAAATCCACGGTCTTCGCGAACTTCAGCAATGCGGCTTCGGGCTTCACGCATCGTCACCAAAGACCCAGCCGCCGCTTCCACGCCATTCTCCAACTCCTCAAGCAACTGTGGTTCAACAGAACCTTCATCTTCCAACTGCTGCAGCTCTGATGCCAAGACTTCGGCTTCAGCTTGCAAAACCTCTTCCAAAGATGCCGGTGCTGACTGGGTTTGATCGTCAACTGGCAAGAGTTCTTCTTCTTCAGGTTCATCCTCCTCCACACCTTCAGCCACCATAGCTTGCCGTGGAGCAGGTTGAAAAGGTTTGCTGAAACCAGGCTTTGCAGAACCATTGGAAGATGCCGATCTAAAGGATCGGAATGTTGAAGCATGTGAGCTCCCGCTGGAAGGCACTGAGATGCGACCACTATGTCCAGACTAGCCTGCAATCACAGCAGCAGCAGCAGCAGCTCCAGTGGTCTCACCGTGGAGCCCAATGCCAAGATGAAAGTTCCAGGAGGCCTGGGATGGACATCACCGAAAGACAAGTAGTTCAAAACACCCAAGACATGCAAATGCTCCTGGCGAACCAGGAGCGCTTCCAAGCGATGCTGAACCAAGTGATGCAACACGTGATGCACATGGCAAGCAATCAGTTTCGTGCTGCCCCTGGCGAGATGGACACCATGGATGCACCAATGGGCCAAGGACAAGAATTGATCCCAGAACAAGAGTACCAGATTCGACTGGCAGCTGCCGAAGACCTTCAGGTGGAAAACTACATGAGGCAGCATGGAGTGCATCCGGGGAGGACAACGGGTGGAGGGAGATCGAGGGCTGAACCCTTACAAACTCCACCAAGAGCTGAAACCTGGACTTTCTCAGCAGATTGCACAAGCTTGGGAGCGGCATGAAAGAGATAGACGTTTGGTTTCAAGAAGCACCAAAGAGGTGGAAGCTGCGATGGACTTCGAATTGGAGAGCAATTTGATGGACTTTATGAATGAAACCTTTGTGACAACAATTGACCTTCTTCATCCCCAGCTTCGTGATCTTCTGGTGCAAGAGATTTTTCACTGCTACGCAGCGGGTGACCCTTGAAGCTCAAAAACGTGGGCATCTCACTGGCGATCCACTTTCTTTGGGTTGGGACTTTATGAAAGCCCTTGATCGCCGTGCAGACTATGCCAAGGTCAAGCGCGAGAAGCCCTACTTTTTGGTTTTGGCATATCCCTGCGGACCTTAGAGCCCACTGCAAAGGCCCAACCCTGCTGCTGATCTGCTGATCCCCCTGAGAAACGTGAAGCCCATCGAGAGCTCATCAGATTTGCATCCTCCTGCCAATTTCCACTACTAAATGCTATGACCTAGGTCCCGGAAAGTGAACCAAAAATTTAGTGTGACATTTCCAGAAACCATTTAGTAGAGAATCATGATTTTTCAAAAAAAAATCAAGTAAACATCTCTAGACCCATGATCCACATTTAGTAGTGAGGTAAAAATGATATGTTAATCATATGATGTCAAATGTTGTTTTTTGGGTAAAACCATTTAGTAGAGATGTCAAAAAAATGTTGCAAAATCACAGGAACCATTTAGTAGAGGTTGCGAAGTAGAGTTCATAAAACGGTCACAATGACACGAGACAAAACTGAAAAACCATTTAGTAGAGATTCCCATTCCGTTGCCCCCGATAGTCGTTTGGCCAATCCATGTCCATCAGGATGAATCACGTAAATCCAGATAGTATATGATAATAGATGCTCAAAAAAATAAGAAGCTTGAAAAATAAATATAAATTCTAGAATGCCAATGAATATCAAAGATATTCCTGGGTTGAAGTAAATCAACATGATCGGGTATACCGCGATATGAAACAACAGAAGTTGGACAAAGATAGCATCCTTGCGGTATCCTGCCATGCCGCCTCCAGTCTAGCCAAGTGCTGCCTCTACTAAATGGATGGTCATGGGATCAGTCTATCTAGAACTGTTTCAAACAAAGCCCTGTTGCATCCTTGTGTGCCCTATAATCCCTTACGCGCTATGCAACACCATTTTGTAGTCCCAAAATGTCCAAATTCTATCAAGATTTCCCCTGTCTAGCCAAGTGCTGCCTTGCCTTTTTTGGGGGCGATGCCAAATCCCTCGCTTGGGTGTTTCTTGCTCGTCGGGTGCTGCCTTTCGTGTTTGTTGTTTTTTGCGTTTTTTGGGGGGCGATGCCAAATCCCTCGCTTGGGTGTTTCTTGCTCGTCGGGTGCTGCCTTTCGTGCTTGGGTTCTTTTGTTGCCTTTTTTGGGGGGCGATGCCAAATCCCTCGCTTGGGTGTTTCTTGCTCGTCGAGTGCTGCCTTTCGTGTTGGGGTTCTTTTTTGGCCTTTTTTGGGGGCGATGCCAAATCCCTCGCTTGGGTGTTTCTTGCTCGTCGGGTGCTTACTAAATGGATGGTCATGGGATCAGTCTATCTAGAATTGTTTGAAACAAAGCCCTGTTGCATCCTTGTGTGCCCTATTATCCCTTACGTGCTATGGAACACCATTTTGTAGTCCCAAAATGTCCAAATTCTATCAAGATTTTCCCTGTCTAGCCAAGTGCTGCCTTGCCTTTTTTGGGGGCGATGCCAAATCCATCGCTTGGGTGTTTCTTGCTCGTCGGGTGCTGCCTTTCGTGTTTGTTTTTTTTGCGTTTTTTGGGGGGCGATGCCAAATCCCTCGCTTGGGTGTTTCTTGCTCGTCGGGTGCTGCCTTTCGTGCTTGGGTTCTTTTGTTGCCTTTTTTGGGGGCGATGCCAAATCCCTCGCTTGGGTGTTTCTTGCTCGTCGGGTGCTGCCTTTCGTGTTTGGGTTGTTTTTTGGCCTTTTTTGGGGGCGGCCAAATCCCTCGCTTGGGTGTTTCTTGCTCGTCGGGTGCTTACTAAATGGATGGTCATGGGATCAGTCTATCTAGAATTGTTTGAAACAAAGCCCTGTTGCATCCGTGTGTGCCCCATTATCCCTTACGTGCTATGGAACACCATTTTGTAGTCCCAAAATGTCCAAAATCTCTCAAGATTTCCCCTGTCTAGCCAAGTGCTGCCTTGCCTTTTTTGGGGGCGGATGCCAAATCCCTCGCTTGGGTGTTTCTTGCTCGTCGGGTGCTGCCTTTCGTGTTTGGGTTTTTTTTTGCCTTTTTTGGGGGCGGCCAAATCCCTCGCTTGGGTGTTTCTTGCTCGTCGGGTGCTTACTAAATGGATGGTCATGGGATCAGTCTATCTAGAACTGTTTCAAACAAAGCCCTGTTGCATCCTTGTGTGCCCTATAATCCCTTACGCGCTATGCAACACCATTTTGTAGTCCCAAAATGTCCAAATTCTATCAAGATTTTCCCTGTCTAGCCAAGTGCTGCCTTGCCTTTTTTGGGGGCGATGCCAAATCCCTCGCTTGGGTGTTTCTTGCTCGTCGGGTGCTGCCTTTCGTGTTTGTTTTTTTTGCCTTTTTTGGGGGGCGATGCCAAATCCCTCGCTTGGGTGTTTCTTGCTCGTCGGGTGCTGCCTTTCGTGCTTGGGTTCTTTTGTTGCCTTTTTTGGGGGCGATGCCAAATCTAAATGGATGGTCATGGGATCAGTCATATGTGTTTCATGTTGTTTTCTCTACTAAATGGACCCCGTGTATTTCTCTACTAAATGGCTTTGGGGTTTTGGTCGAGTAATGTTGGTCCCGCAACTTGTGCTCAAATGAGTAGCTCTACTAAATGGAACAGGGTGTTTGGTCGAGTCATGTTGGCGTCTTAAGACACTCTGAAAATATATCCAAATTTTGCGCTTCAGCTGAACCAGGGGCCCACATTTAGTAGTGAAATTCGATCATGCATGCACATCCATTTAGTAGAGCTTGAGGCTATGCAGGCCGTTTCTTCACTACAAAATGGTTGCACAGCCCCAACCCTTAATTGACAGGGGGTTAGATTTGCTCTTTCTCTGGCGTGCCTGCAATTGCGCAATGGGCTGTCACTTCATCCTTGAGAACCTGGTTGGCTCAGAATCTTGGAGTTTGCCGGAAATCATCAAGTTCTTGGAGGGAGAAGAGGCAAAGCTGGATTGATTTGATCAGTGCAGATTCAATCTGCGATCTGCTGAAGGATGGCCCCCCAAGAAGGCAACACAAGTGGCAACCAGCAGTAAGGCAGTTCGTTCTCACCTGGATCAAGTTCGATGCACAGGTGATCACCTCCATCAACCTGTCATTGGCGGATCAAAGATCACTGCGAGAGCTGGGCATTACCCTGGTCAACTTGCCAAGACCATGGTGTTGGCTATGGAGGAGGAATTTGAGCGGCAGTTTAGCCCCAAGCCCAAGGAAGCTCTGGCTGCGGAAGATGGAGGTGGTGATGAAGTTTCAGGTGATGAAGAAGAACAAATGGCCCCTGGAGTTGATGCTCCCTCTTCCTCGGAAGATGGTCAGCCTGATGGACTTGGACTTTCAAAGGCTGCGATCTTTCCAGATCAAACGCCTTCATGAGAACACGGGCCATAGATCAAACAAGAGGCTGGCGCGTGCTCTGGTTTTGACAGGAGCACCACCGGAAGTGGTGAAAGCTGCACGTCTTCACAAGTGCAGCGTGTGCCAAGAAATGAGAGCTCCAAAGCAAGAAGGCCTGCATCCCTTTCAACACCTCGAGATGTTTCAGACCAAGTCCACATTGACATCTTTGAAGGGCGTGACCTGTCAGAGCAACGCTCCTACATCGTGCACGTGATTGACCACTGCACACGATTTCAACTCGCTGAAGTGCTGCCAGATAAGAGCTCTGCCTCAGTGATCAAGTTCATGAAGAAGCGCTGGTTTCCCATTTTTGGAGCACCAAGAACTTGCTGATCAAGGACGTATTTGTGTCATGGGAGTTTGAGCAACTTTGCTCTGAGAATGCAAGTCTCCTCTGGCACTGTGCAGTTCAAGCGCCTTGGCAGAATGGTCTATGTGAACGCGGCGGTGGCATCATCAAAGCTCTTTTGCACTCCATCGTCAAGAGCCAAGGCGTCACTGTCAAGGAAGATCTGGACTTAGCCTTGCAGGAGGCCATCACTTCCTACAACGGCGATGTGAATGAACTTGGTGTTTCGCCAGCACAAGCGGCACTGGGCAGACAGCCCCGCCTTCAAGGCGATGTTCTTGGTGATTTTGGTCAACGGGTCGCTGAGCATGGACTTATTGACTCACGCCCGAGTTTGGCCAGACAAGTTGCAATGCGAGAGACAGCCAGAGTAGCTATGGCAAGACTCCACTTTTCTTTCCTGAGCAGGTCACGAAACACCGCAGTGACCCAACCTCTTGAACCTGGATCCATTGTGTACTACTTCAGGCAGACCAAGTACAACAACAAGACTGCTGGATCCCGGAAGAAGTTGATCTTGCGTCGTTGGCATGGCCCTGCATTGCTGGTGGCGAACGAAGGTGATGTGAATTGCTTTCTTTCACACAAGGGTCAAGTGACCAAATGCGCCTGAGAACATGTGCGCTTGGCAAGCACCATGGAGCAGATTGCAGCCGAAACATGGCGTGATGCGAGTGATGAAGTTGTTGAAGCAGCTCAGCATGATCATGCTCTCAGACAGCGAGCTCAAGCTCAATCCCCTGAAGCAGTTGGAAATGCTGAGGACTCTGAAGCAGTTCAAGCTGAACCCGCTGTATCAGTGGCCCCTGCACTTCCACAACAACCACAACAAGCAGCTCCTGCGCCCACCGATTTACCACCGGTGGCCCCTCAAGAGTTTGCACAAGCCTTGCGACCTGCGCATGATGGTGGAACAGCAGCTCCCACAGTGGCATCTTCCATGCCACCATCTGTGGCATCCTCCAGAAGGACGAAGCAGATCTCCTGTGCTTGAAGCGGTGCTTCGAGCTGGTTTGATGGCTCATCCGACAACGGCCCCTACGGCTTTGTCTCCTGCTACATCCGTGGCACCTGCAGCACCGAAAACACCTTCAGCACCTGCGACACTTCGACGTGGTCGCGCTGTGGAGCGAGCAAAGGAGATGACTGCGGACCCCCTTGAAAACGAGAAGCTGACATGACATTGCATGAGCTAGCCAAACGCTCACTAAAAGAGCCTGGCATTTACCGGGAGTTGGTTGAGATCAACATTGCGGCAGCCTCAAACGTGCCTGCGGTGGACTTCAACACAAAACATGATCATCGATGCCCTGACGAAAGACATGGATGTGAGCCATTTCCATCACATCTTGGAGAAAGGCGAATGGTGTGTGAAGTTTAACCAGGACTTCATCAAGCAGACCTCCAAGGTTGCAAAGTCCAATGCCGTGGCAAATGAGGTGAAGGTGGGTAAGCCGATGAGCCCTGCTGATCCCCTACTGAGCCGGCCTGCGACGCTGAGTGAGAGTCCCGGTTGGCACCAGCAAGATGGTGTGGTAGTGCACGTGGCTCGAAACGCCAGAGCCTTTAGGACTCCCAAGCCCAGACATGACCCTGAGGAGTTTAGTCTCAGGAGTTCATATGGTAGGTTTGACCTGAAAGATGGCAGTGCTGAGTGGAGGCAGCTCGAACAGAACGTGAGCTATGGTGACCTTCCGTACAGCTGCACTGGCCTGATTGGGCAAACTCCAATGTACTTGTGACCTTCTTCCGGATGCCATCTCATATCAACAAAAGAAGGGAATCCACTGAAGAATCTATGGGATTTCATGGATAGCATCCGGACAGTTGGGACACATGTGACTGCAGGGACACCGCACAGCTGTGCCTGTCCGTGGCCATATAGGCCTAAGCCAAGATCGCTGCGTCTCCAGGCAAAACCGGCAGTCTTGTGTCTCGCAGTGCGTTGCTGCCTGGTTTCACATGTTAGTATGGTCCAGAAGCACTCACCATGCAGGTTTTCCTGCAGCATTTCAGCTCCAATTGGATTCCACTTGTGCATGGTAGTACGATTTAAGTACGACGATTTAAGACGGTAGACTGCAGGTCTCATTTTTCCTCTTAAACTGGTTGCGACTTGGTGTCTCAGAGGTTTCGGGAATCTCTGCAAGGAAACCATTTTGTTGTGTGACGGGGGAGTTCATTGCATGTTCAAGTGCGCAAAATGAAAGGAAGACATTTCTACCCCACATCCTTGACATAACCGAAAGTGAGGAATCTCAGACCTTGACAGAAAGGCATTCCACCAATTTCCGCAGCGCCTCCAGGTGATTTGGATCTCAGATTCCAGGCCATGGAAGAACGATTCCACCATCGGCGTGGCCTTGGATTGTGATGCAGCTACAGCCCAATTGGTAACTGGGCACAGGGCTGTGTGATGTGTGAACATTGCGACCATTGCGACCATTGCGACCATTCTCGTGGAAGTATCCAAACTTGCGAAAAGTAAAGGCCCACTTTGTTTCTGGCAGACTGTGGATTTGTGTCTTAAGCAGCCTTGGCAGAAGCAATCGAAAAGTAACCGAATCGATGCAAATAAACCCGAGTTTTCAGCTCTAAACTGGAAACCAAGATTTTGAGAATGATGCCGGACTCATGGTGAGGCTGTTTGAAAGGTAAACATGACCCGTGTGTACTGTGAATCGTACTCTTCGTCAGCCAGTGTGCTTTGTGATCGAACTTGGCGCTTTAAAGAAACATCACGTTCAAAGTAGAGTAGTTCAAGACTCTCGATGCGTAGGCCTCGAGTCCTGGACTAAGGTGATGAACCAAGTTTGGGGTGAACCAACGGCTATTCCTCGTGTGGATCCATCCTCTGGAAAGACGCTGATGCCAGTTCTATGTGGGGAGGGAGCTTGCACAATTTGTTTCAAGAAGACGCAGCAAGCCTCTGACCACAAGAGCCTGCCCTTCCAGCAAATTTCAGATGCTCGGCCAAATGCTTCAGATGCCGTTCTTGATGTTGCTGTCAAGTTTTTTTTAGTCAAAGGATCTCCTTGTCCTTGCCAGCAGTAGAGTCGCTGGCCTGGTTTGCATAACAAAACATCTCTACTGTAAGTTTCAAGATGATCTGAGATGAATCATCCGATGTGACAATGGAAAAAGTGATGCTCACAATCGCTCTGCAAGCACAAGTGCTGCACATGTGACGCACACTGCCTAGCCATTCTCCTACAATGTCAAACACAAAGACAGTCAAGTGGCTCCGTCGATTCACATACATAGTGTTGGAACCTTTGGTCGCTGACCATAATAGCGTTGGGGCCCGTAGCTTTTCTGTTTTGGTTTTCGCCCATGCTGCTGGATCTCAAGGACCTACAAAAATAGGCAAAGAAAACATGATAACACATTACATGATAAAACATGAAAAAAATCTCAGGAAACCCGGTTTGGCCTTTATCCATCGTTGTTTTCTCCCATTTTCTTCAGCCTCCCAGTTTGTTCCCAGTTTGACCTGGTTGACATTGGTTGACCCTCGCCTGAGGAGGTCATGGCGCCAGCTCTTGGTGCCAGCCGCTTGGTGCATGCTTTGCTGCAGGCTGGTGCAAAGCCATCCTCATCCAACAGGAATGGCGAAAATGGCGAAGTGATTCTGCCCTTGCATCTAGCAACTAAGTCAGATGATGCGCAATCCGTTCGATTGCTGAGTAGGAGTGGAGCCGACCTGAATGTGACTGGGTTTCAGTGGGTTTATTGGGTTTCAACGGTTTCAGCAGTGTGCTTGTATATTGTGATGTCTTGCGTTTCAACTCAATTTGCCACTTCATTTGCAATTCAATATATTATTGCGTTCAAGAGGATGAACAATGTAAATCCCCTTTGCGGCCTTGCTTGGTCCAAGGTGACTGATCCCACATCGGGC